CCAGACAAAGATGCCACAAAAAAAAAAAAAAAAAACAACAAAACTACAGGCCAATATTACTGACTAACATAGATGCAAAAATCCTTCACAAAATTCTAGCAAACAGAATCCAACAGCATCTCTAAAAGATCATAAATCATGAGCAAGTGGGCTTTACCCCAGGAATGCAAGGATTCTTTAATATCTGCAAATCAATGTAATACACCACATTAACAAATTGAAAGATAAAAACCATATGACTATCTCAACAGATGCAGAGAAAGTCTTTGACAAAATTAAACATCAATATATGATAAACTCTCCAGAAAGAAGGAATAGAAGGAACATACCTCAACATAATAAAAGCTATATATGACAAACCCACAGCAAACATCATCCTCAATGGTGAAAAATTGAAAGAATTTCACCTAAAGTCAGGAAGAAGACAAGGGTGCTCACTGTCACCACTACTATTCAGCATAGTTTTGGAAGTTTTGGCCACAACAATCAGAGTAGAAAAAGAAATAAAAGGAATTCATAATGGAAAAGAAGAATTAAAACTCTCACTGTTTGCAGACGACATGATCTTCTACATAAAAAACTCTGAAGATTCTACCAGGAAATTACTAGAACTAATCAATGAATATAGTACAGTTGCAGGATATAAAATTAACACAGAGAAATCCCTTGCATTCCTATACACTAACAATGAGAAAACAGAAAGAGAAATTTAGGAAACAATTCCATTCACCATTGCAAAGAAAAGAATAAAATACTTAAGAATATATCTACCTAAAGAAACAAAAGACCTATATATAGAAAGCTATAAAACACTGATGAAAGAAATCAAAGAGGACACAAATTGATGGAGAATTATACCATGTTCATGGATTGGAAGAATCAATATAGTGAAAATGAGTATGTTACCTGAAGGAATCTATGGATTCAATGCAATCCCTATCAAGCTACTGATGGTATTTTTCACAGAACTAGAACAATGATTTCACAATTTTCAAGGAAGTACAAAAAACTTTGAAATAGCCAAAGCAATCTTGAGAAAGAGGAATGGAACTGGAGGAATTAACCTGCCTGACTTCAGGTTCTACTACAAAGCTACAGTCATCAAGACAGTATGGTACTGGCACAAAGACAGAAATATAGATCAATGGAACAAAATAGAAAGCCCAGAGATAAATCCATGCACCTATGGATACCTTATTTTTGACAAGGGAGGCAAAAATATACAATGGAGAAAAGACAATATCTTTAACAAGTGGTGCTGGGGAAACTGGTTAACTACTTGTCAAAGAATGAAACTAGAACACTTTCTAACACCATACACAAAAATAAACTCAAAGTGGATTAAAGATCTAAACATAAGTCCAGAAACTATAAAACTCCTAGAGGAAAACATAGGCAAAACACTCTCGGACATAAATCACAGCAGGATCCCCTATGACCCACCTCCCAGAATAATGGAAATAAAAGCAAAAATAAACAAATGGGACCTAATTAAACTTAAAAGATTTTGCACAACGAAGGAAAGTATCAACAAGGTGAAAAGACCGCCTTCAGAATGGGAGAAAATAATAGCAAATGAAGCAACAAAGGATTAATCTCAAAAATATACAAGCAACTCCTGCAGCTCAATTCCAGAAAAATAAATGACCCAATCAAAAAATGGGCCAAAGAACTAAACTGAGAGTCCTCCAAGGAAGACATACAGATGGCTAACAAACACATGAAAAGATGCTCAACATCACTCATTATCAGAGAAATGCAAATCAAAACCACAATGAGGTACCATCTCACGCCAGTCAGAATGACTGCTCTCCAAAAATCTACAAAAAATACATGCTGGAGAGTGTGGGAATGCAAACTAGTACAGCCACTATGGAGAACAGTGTGGAAATTCCTGAAAAGAGTGGAAATAGAACTCCCATGTGACCCAGCAATCCCACTGCTGGGCATACACAATGAGCAAACCAGAATTGTATGAGACATTTGTACTGCAGTACTGTTTACAGTAGCTAGGACATGCAAGCAACCTAGATATCCACCAGAAGATGAATGGATAAGAAAGATGTGGTTCATATATACGATGGAATGTTACTCAGCTATTAAAAAGAACACATTTGAATCAGTTCTAATGAGGTGGATGAAACTGGAGCCTATTATACAGAGTGAAGTAAGTCAGAAAGAAAAACACCAATACAGTATATTAATACATATATATGGAATTTAGAAAGATGGTAACAATGGGTCTATATGCGAGACAGCAAAAGAGACACAGAGATAAACAACAGACATTTGGGCTCTGGGGGAGAAGTCTAGGGTGGAATGATTTGTGAGAATATCTTTGAAACATGAAACTACCATATATGAAATAGGTTGCCAGTCCAGGTTCGATGCATGAGAGAGGGCGCTCAGGGTCGGTGCACTGGGATGACCCAAGGGGTGGGATGGGGATGCAGGTGGGAGGGGTTTCAGGATTGTAAACACATGTACACCCGTGGCTGACTCATGTCAATGTATGGCAAAAAACACTACAACATTGTAAAGTAGTTAGCCTCCAATTAAATAAATATATTTTTAAAAAAGAAAAGCAAAAAAAAAAAAAAAAATGGCCAATTTAGATGAAATTAAGAAACTCCTTGAATGACACAAATTCCCAAAACTAACTCAAGAAGAAAGTGAAAACCCTAAATGTCCCTAAATCTATCAAAGACATGGAACAGAAAACTCCAGGCCCATGTGACTTAACTAGTGAATGCTATGAAATACGTAAAGGAGAAATATCACTAAGCCCATACAATTTCCTTCAGAAAGGAGAGGAGGGGAAGCACTTCTCAAATCATTTTATGAAGCCAGCCTTACAAAATACCAAAGCCAGATGAAGACATTGCAAGAAAAGACAACCACAGACTAATATTCTTCATTAAGTTAAGCACAAAAAATGAAATGTTAACAAATGTAACCCAGCAATACATAGAGCATTATGACCAAATGAGATCTATCCAAAGAATGAAAGATTGGTTATGCATTAAAAAATCATACACCAGTGTTATTCATCATAATAAAACACAGAAGAAAAACCATATGATCCTTTCGATAGACGCTGTAAAATAATTTGACAATATTCAACAACCACTATGATAAAAACTCTCGGAAAACTAGGACTACAAACAGACTTTCTTATACTGATCAAGGTAACCTACAAAACTCCTACAGCTAACATGATAATGGAGGACAATTTAATCCCTCCAGTGGGGGTGGGGAAGGCTACTCGCCTTGGACTTGGAGGGCTGCAGAGAGGCCTATCCAGCCAGGGGGTGGGGATCAAGTGGCCTGGTTGAAGTACCTGCCCCCTCCTCAGGCAATGGACCTGATCCAGTCACCTCCTGTGGCACCAGTGGTTCCCTGGCGGACGCATGACACCTCCCAGGAAGTGGTGCTCCAGGCCCATGAACAACCCTGACTGTACTGTGTCTGTTGACTTGAACTGCTTCCAGACCAGAAGTAGACCAGCACCCAGCAGGCCAGCAGACACAGAGTCACTGCCCAGTTGAGGTCCCCGGCACCTCCAGCCCTCTAGAGAGCTGCAAGACTTTGTTCCTGGTGAGGGAAAGCCCATGAGAGTTGTGCCTGCAGAGGCCAGGAGACTGGGTTTGTCCTGGGGGACACTGCTCTTCCAGCAGCCCTTGAGTGCCTCTGGTCTCACCGGAGCTTCTGGGGGGCCTGGGGTAAGCCCCCAGCCTGGAGTCCCTGCAGCCTGTGTGCCTGGAGCCCCAGGTGCCCCTGCCCCATTCAATTCCCAGTGAGTTCAACAGCAGTCCCCACTTCCCTCCCCAGGCAGCCAGCACAGCCTGCTCTGCATCCCTACTCTCAGGACTCCAGTACCGAGTCCCCATGCATCGCCATGGGAAGGCACCTGCACATGAACACAAGCACACACAGGTGCCAATGTGCATGTCTCTGACCCGTGCTCTCTTTCACACACACACACGCCCATGTGCATGCACCTGACCACATGCTCGCTCTCTCACACACACACATGTGAATGCTCATTTGCAAGCACCTCCACAAACACACATGCACACACCTGTGTGCATACACCTGTGCACACACACTCTCTCACACACATGTACACACACATGGGCTAGCACTTGTGCACAGACACTGTCTCAGGCACACACACACACACACACATACACTCACAGAGACATGCACATCAGATATCCATGTCCATGCACCTGCTCACGTGCACATGGACACACACACACACACACACACACAGACATGCACATCAGATATCCATGTCCATGCACCTGTTTAGGTGCTGATGGACACACAAGGAGACACACAAGGAGACACACACACACACACACACACACACATACACATACGTGAGCTATGTGTGGGACACCAGAGGGACATACCAGCCCTGACCCAGCATACCCGACTCCCTTCCAGAAGTTGATGACAGGGACCTGTGCTCAGCAGGATGCTCACCTGTGAGCATGGCCAGGCTGGCAGCAGTGCAGTCTTGGAGGTGCACAGGGACTGGTGATCACTTGGGGTTTGCAGGCTTGGACTGGAAACAGTCACTTGCCCTGAGGAGTGGAGCATGGTCTGTTTGAGCATGCGCATTGAGGAGCTGCCCCCACACTAAAGGGTGGACCACCACCCAGAGGCCTGACAGCTGAGCTGTTTACCAGGTTTCCAGGCCTGAGGCAGCGCTGACTCAGAGGACCCAGACCACGTGGTTGTGCATCTGCACACGCGCATTGGGGCAACATGGCGCACGAACACGTGAAGCTTCTGCAGGGGGTGCCCATTACCCGAGAGCCTGCAGTGTTCACAGGAAACAGTGGTCGGTGGGAACCAATCGTGTGGCAGGAACTGGGTGTGTATGTGTAGGCGCTCTGCTGATGCTGAGCTGCCGGTCTCACTACAGGGTTGGGATCTGTAGGGAGGGTTCAGTCTTTCCTGACACGGAGGGAGGGGGAGAGCGGTTTAAGATGGAGTCCAAGGCACAAGATGGAGGGGCCACGAGGGCAGCCGATGAAGATGCAGGTGTCGAGGCCTTTGCAGCAGGTACAGCACGTGGCAGCCAAGGTATGCCTGGTGGTGCTAGTGGTTGCAATGGCCCTCACAACCCAGCTGGCCCTGGTGATGCCAGCGACCTGGCTGATCGCAGAGGCCCCAGCACTGGAGGAGAGTCAGGTGGCATAGCCAGTGCCATTCAGGAGATCCCAGGGGCACCCCAAGCACCAGGGCCTGGTGGAGATGTTGCACCCAGAGCCGGAGTTCTGAGTAACTGACTGCTCCAGCTGTATCCTATTCCAGGAGCCCTGGTGGGCCAGGCCGCTGCAGCAGTCGGGGTGTGGCCTAGGTGTGGTTTTGAGGGACGCAGGTGGTGGGGCCTAAACTTCAGGAGGAGGGTACTTTGGGGGGTGGCTGGAGGGTATGGGTCAGGGGTGGTCTGGCTGCCAGGGGATGGTGGTGAGGAAAAGCAACCTGAAGGGAACCAGAGGGTTGAGCAGTGATATCCAGGGTGTCCGGCAGTGGCTTTGTGGGAGAAGGCAAGTCTCTGTTACCAGGGAGCCTGACATACAGGCAAAATGAGTAATGTGGATGGTGGTGAGGAAAAGCAACCTGAAGGGATCCAGAGGGTTGGGCGGTGATATCCAAGGTGTCCTCAGGGTATAGGTTGGGAGGTCCAGACAGCTTAGGCGGCGGCCTTGTGGGAGAAGGCAGGTTTCCGTGAGCAGGGAGCCTGATGTACAGGCAAAATGACTAGTGTGGATGGTGCCTTAACCATATCTTCACCAGCAGCCTCTTTGTGCCTTTCTCATCGCATGAGGAGGTGGACAATGCCCGTCACTCTCGAACTCGACATACTCAACTGCGAGGGCCTGTTCAGAAGGAGCTCTAGGTTATGGCCGCATGTTGGTTCTGTCAGTTCTAAAGGGGGTCGGGAGGGAGTGGTGGGTGCTAGGCAGTGGCCAGTCTCAGCCCAGGAGGAGCCATAACAGAGCGTTAAGCCTAAAGGGGAAGTGTGGTGCTCTGGGCTTGTCGGTGTGTGGGGACAGAGGGAGGACATGCTCCTCTCCCTCCTTTTCCGTGGGAACTTGAATTTCCTTTTCCCTCCCTTTTAGCCGATTGACTGCTGAAGACCACGGCCTGCTCCAGACATCCATTGCCTTCTGTCTGGAGCAGCTTTCCCTGGTGATGTGGACCTTGAAGCACTTTGTGCCCCGCCCCCCCCCCCACCCTTTTCCTAAGTCTCAGCACAGAAGAGGGGCTTATATCTAGCCTATGTGCCCCAACCTCAATTGTCCTTCCTGAGGGCATTGTTTTCTGCAGTGGTTTGATTGGGCTTCGTCTTGTGCCTGTGCTCCTGCTTGGGGGCTCATTGTCCACATAGTTTGTTTGGTATTTGTTAAATGCGGAAAATAAAACTGAGCTACTGTGCAGTCTCTGACTTTAGTTTTAGCTTGTTCACTTCCTAGTACTGCATTCATCTCCCAGTTGGAGGGGAGGTTCTGAGATCCAGATATTCAAGGAGTACAACATAAGTGAAGACAATGTAAGAAGTGGGAGAATAAGAAATTTGTGTACTGCAGTTCAGAATTGATTTTTGAATATTTTCTCAGTTTTATAGTTACATTTATATATTAAGATATAATACCAGAATGTTGTTGTTGTTGTTCAGTCTCTAACTTGTGTCCAACTCTTTGCAACCCCATGGACTGTAGCACACCAGGCTCTGTGTCCCCACTTTCTCCTGGTGTTTGCTCAAGTTCATGTCCATTGAGTGGGTTATGCTGTCAAACTGTTCATCCTCTGTCCTCCCATTCTCCTTTGGCCTTCAATCTCTCCCAACATCAGGGTCTTTTCCAGTGAGTCAGCTTTTTGCATCTGCTGGCCAAGTGTTGAAGCTTCAGCTTCAGCATCAGTCCTTCCAATGAAAATTCTGATTTCCCTTAGGATTGACTGGATTGATCTTGCAGTCCAAGGCACTCTTAAGAGTATCCTTGTATCCTGAAACCATGCTAAACTCATTAATTAATTGCAATAACTCTTTTGTAGATCCCATTGACCTTCCTACATAGGCAATCATTTTGTCTTTGAATAAATTCACATTTATTTCTCCCTTTCCAATTGATATATTTTAACTGATTTCTGTTAAAATGAAGTCTCCAACACTTTGGCCACCTGATACGAAGATCCGACTCATTGCCAAAGACCCTGATGCTGGGAGAGATTGAAGACAGGAGGAGAAGGGAATGGCAGAAGATGAGATGGTTGGATGGCATCACAACACCATGGGCATGAGTTTGAGCAAGTTTTGGGAGATGGTGAAGGACAGGGAAGCCTAGTGAGAGCAGTCCGTGAGGTCCCAAAGAGTTAAAGACTTGACTGAGCGACTGAACAACAACACACTGATTTCTGTTATAATGGATTTGACTTTCCTGCTTCTTTGCCTCTTGGTAATTTTACATTGGATGCCAAGCATTATCAAATTTCCCTTGCATGCTTGATATTTTTCTATGCCTAAACTTATTCCTGAGCCTTTTTCTGGATTCCTGTTAAGATGCTTGGAAACACTTTGATCCTTTTAGGTCTTACCACTTAAGATTGGCTCTGTAGGACCAGAGCAGATCTAAATGTAGGATGAGCTTAATGAAGTGAAATCTTCAATGTCTGAGAAAGCTATAGCTGGAAAAAAATGATGTTTTAAAATTTATATTTATGAAAATAATTTGTTTATTTCTGTGCTTGCAGCCAGTGGGGACTACTCTCAAATTGCTGTGCTCACGCTTCTCATTGTGGAGGCTTCTCTTGTCATGGAGCACGGACTCTAGATCATGGTGAGCTCAGTAGTTGAGGCACATGGGCTTAGTTGCACCAGGCATGTGGGATCTACCCTAACCCTAAACATAACAATTCTTTGGGAGAGGTACTATTATACCCTCATTTTGCAAACAAGGAAGTTAAAACTCAGAATGGATGTGTGGCTTGCAAAGAGGTTAGACTGGAATCCAGGTGGGGTCTGTCTACCTCCCAAGGCAATGCCCTTGACCACACCACATAACCTGGCCTTTCACTGCACCTTGGTGCTTACCTGAGGGATGCGGGGCCTAGGGGTAGAAATCCACTGGGGTCTGAGCAGGCAAGTTCCGTGGGTCCATGTAGGAAGCCATCATCATACGCCTGGGGTCAAAGCCCAGTGTCTGGGGGTAGTGTGGGTAGAAGGTGTCATGCAGATTGATGGTGGAAGGTACGCCAGCTGCTAGTCCTGCATACTGTACAGCTGCTCCTGGCAGAGACAGAGACCTGGCTGCTCAGGTGCTGCAGAGCAGACAGGCTGTGTGAGCACACAAACATAGTCTTCAAGGGAAAATCCACCCAGACAGAAGACCAGAGAGGGAGGCCCCAGTGTATGCATGACCACGTTCAGGCCTGGGCCCTCTCCCAGGATGGATGAATGGTCATGCCATTGTCACACGGGACCCTGGGGCTCCCCGACTACACATGGTACCTTGGGTGCTCACACAAATCAAAGGCTCTCCTGGAGCTGACTGGTGACCAGCACACCTTCTAGAGCACCTCTCCCCGATGCTCCTCCCCAACCGCAGCCCCCACTGCCTCTTCAGTCCACTCTCCACACTCCAATGCCCTGACCATGGCTGGAGTCTTCCTGGATTCTCCACAGCTCTCCATCTAACAGCTGGAATCCCACAGGGATGCATGTGATCTACAGGGTTCTGCAGGTCCTGACCCATCTGCCTCTCCAGCATCACCTCCCATGACTGCCCTGGCCTCCAGTCCACATACCTGCCTGCCCACCTGCTTCAGGCCTTGGAAACACACTGGGCCATCTCTTCCCTGGGCCCCAAATCCGCTCACCCACACCCGTCCTTCAGGTTTCAGCTTAAAGAGCACTTCCTCTGGGAAGCCTGCCACACGTTCTGAGGAAGATCAGGTCCTCTGCTCTCAGCTCTCAGAGCACTGGTGTTTCTCCTGTGGTTAGCCTCCCTACCTACATCAGGGGATCGTGTGCCAAGTTCACTGCAGTCCACTCATCTCTACCACCAGACGTGGTACGGAAAAAATTCATTGCATGAATGGATGAACATAACACATCGATAGAGTATTAAAACTCAAGGACCTAGACCCAGTGAGGGTTCATTGCAGACCCTGCTCCACAGCACCCCTGGAGCTTCCCTCACGAGTGCATCCTGAACCAGTATCGTGGCTAGACACAGGTACAGTCAAACAAGCAGGACAGCTGACCCGGCACACCCTATTCTACCAGCCTGCTGGTTCAACCCCGGTTCCCTGGACGGCTTGTCAGTGCTCACAGCACCTCTTAGGCACGGTCAGCACTCAGTAAGTGGAGCTCTCCCGGGCTCTGCCCACAGCTCCTCCTCCTGTTTAGACCCAAGGTCCTCAGGGAAGCTGACCAGACAGTCTGTTTGCAAGACTCACTCAGGCTACTCTGGCACATTCAGACTTCCTCCTACTCTTCAGAAAGGATTTACCTGTCACTGCCCATCCCTACCCTCCATAGAAGACTTCCCTAGAGCAGCTGTTATGACTCTGTCTGGCTGGAGTGACTCCAGAGAATTCTCCAGTTGGCAGTAAATCTTCACCAAGCCCAGGAGTAATTGCATGGTGCCTGCTCACAGTGCAAAACTACAACAGCACAATGAATGTACATACCTGTCTAGAACATAGGCCACAGTGGGCTTCTGGAATGCTCCCTAGGAACCCAAGAAAAACAGGGTCTAGGGAGAAAGTTGTAAAGGCAACTTTAAAAAATTACTGGGAAAGGTGGAAACTTTGATCTGTTTCCCTGGGGCACCCACATTTTGGAACATTTTTGTTAGGGAGTTAGAATAGAAAAAATGATTCCAGAATGGTGGTGGCTAAAAGACAAGGAAGGGGAAATCCTGCAAAAAATAGAACAAAGGAAGGTCAGAGGACCAGAGTGAGGACCTAAGGTAGAACAAGCAACGCTCCTGGCTTGCCCAATTTATATAAGGCAGGCCCAGGGGAAGGAAAAACATTTAAAAGAGGGTTTCTCTCCTTCCTGCGTGCACACACTC